GCAGTTTTGCTATTATATTTTGCAGTAATCCCCTTTTAGTTAGGAAAAAATGCTTTTATGTATAGACAAAAAATGTATTTGTATTTCTTTCATAGAGTTTATCTTATCAACATAAACTAATATGAAGTATAATGGTGAAGGAAAATACTTGAAGAAAATGCTTGAAGCCAAACCCGGTTTGGCTCAGTGGATAGAGCGTCAGCCTGCAGACTGAAGGGTCCCAGGTTCGATTCCGGTCAAGGGCATGTACCTTGGTTGCAGGCACATCCCCGGTAGGGGGTGTGCAAGAGGCAGCTGATCAATGACTCTCTCTCATCGATGTTTCTAGCTCTCTATTCCTCTCCCTTCCTCTCTGTAAAAAAATCAATTAAAAAAAAAAATATATATATATATATATATATTTTTTTTTTTTAAAGAAAGGAAGAAAATGCTTGGAAATAACCTAAAATTCTCTTTCATAAAAACTTATAGCAATGTTCAATTTCAGGTATTTCCCCCTAAATATTGTTTATCTTGTCAAATGAATTGCTTTCAAAGGGTAGCATGGCAAAGACCTTCCGGTTGGCTCCTCTGTAGTTTATGTGGGAATTCCAAATAGAAAGAGGCTTAGGGCCATGAAAGATAAGGGGCCCGAACCCGATTTGGCTCAGTAGACGGAGCGTCAGCCTGCGGACTGAGGAGTCCCGGGTTCGATTCCAATCAGGGGCATGTACCTTGGTTGCTGGCACATCTCTGGTGGGGGGTGTGCAGAAGGCAGCTGGTTGATGTTTCTTTCTCATTGATATTTCTAATTCTCTATCCCTCTCCCTTCTTCTCTGTAAAAAAATCAATAAAATATATTTTTAAAATAAAAATAAATAAATAAAAATAAAAAGACAGAAGGGGGCGGTTAATGCAATAGAATGGATCAATCTCAAAGAGTGAGTGTGGAGAACATCTTCCATAGAAAAAGGAGGATCACAGTGCAGCGAAGAGAAAAGAAATGGAGGTATAAAATTAGAAGTGGGAATCATGACATTTTGATTCAGCGAAGGTCTTCAGCAGATAATGTTTGTGTACCATTACCCAAGCAGTTGGTTAAACTACTGGAAAGTCATCTATAGTAAGTAATTGTAGTTTTGATATAGCAAAATGCACAAAAGTGTCTAACTTTTAAGTCTTGTCCTGTATAATAAGAGGATTTTTTAAATGTGTTTCTCCAGTCAGAGCAATTGCCGTCTTTATTTGGAAATGTTTTTTGGTAGGTGTAATCTTTCCGTTTCACTATTTAATCCCCCACCCCCTAAAAAAAAGTGTGTATATAAGGAAGAAATATTTTTTGAAACTGTAAAAATAGGCTTCAAATTTACTACTCTGGGTAGACCCTCTCTATTGCTAGTTTTATCTTTATATAATTATTTTAAAAGAATTAGTGAGTATGTCACCTGTGAGGAGGTTTATGTCTAAAACCAGACAAGATGGGCTAGCTTAGTGGATTTTTTCCCTGCGATGATTTGGAAAAAATGCATGGCTTTTTATCTTTTATGAGCCTCTGTCTCGTGGTATGTAATTGAACATTCCTCTCTCGTCTTCAGTCTTCATGCTGGGCCTCTAGAAAGATTTCCAGCAGGGGCACATTTTTAGACAGGGGGAAGAAACAGTTCAGAGTTATTTTGGATCTCCTCAGCTTGTCTCTCTATCTGGCCATCTCTCTCTCAGTCTCAGTCTCTCACAGACTTTTATTCCCGGGCCCCCACCCCCCGCCCCCTCCACTTGGCTCCTTCAGCCCTCTACTTCCTTCCAGCTCAGCTCTGTCATGGTAATAGCCAGCCAAGGCCAATTCATGCATGTGTGTGCTTTAGCTGAATCATTCTCACAATTATAAAATTATTCAAGGCGGCAGAATTAAACTGTCCCTCACCACTACCCTGGCCAGTTTGGCTCAGTGTATAGAGCACATGTGTCAAACACAAGGCCCGCGGGCCAAATCCGTCCCGCCAGGCCTTGCAATGTGGCCCGCACCGCGCTGTCATCACTGCACTCCGCTGCGTTTCCATCACAATGACAGTTTATGACTGTTCAGTAAACCATTCGGCCCGCGATTTAGGCTGGATTTTAGATTTTGGCCCCTTCTCTGATTGAATTCGACACCCCTACTATAGAGCATCAGCCCACGGACTAAAGGTTCCCTGGTTCGATTCTGGTCAAGGGCACATGCCCAGGTTGCAGGCTCGATCCCCAGTAGGGAATGTGGAGGAGGCAGCCAATCAATGATTCTCTCTCCTCATTGATGTTTCTATCTCTCCCTCTCCCTTTCTCTCTGAAATCAATAAAAATATATTTAAAAGAGCCAAAACCGGGTTGGCTCAGTGGATAGAGCATCGGCCTACGGACTGAAAGGTCCCAGGTTCGATTCCAGTCAAGGGCATGTACTTTGGTTGCAGGCACATCCCCAGTGGAGGGTGTGCAGGAGGCAGCTGATCGATGATTCTCTCTCATCGATGTTTCTAATTCTCTATCACTCTCTTTCTCTCTGTAAAAAATCAATAAAAGATGTTTAAAAAATAAAATTAAAAAGAATATAATCAAAGATTATGTTCATATTTGTCCACCTGGAGTATACCATAAATTATATGAATTAAAGAATATTTAACTCAGCTAACCTGAGGAAGGAGGAAATATTCAAAATAATATCAATGAAAGTATAATACGTCGCCTGTTTCTTTATTACATGGTGCGCACAGCTCAGAGACCTGCTGCAGCCAGGCTTTTTCCCTGAGAGCCCTATCTCAAAACAGACTGTGTCACACGCAGTCCCTGGAGCAGTCTTCCTCTCACATCTTCATTCTCCACCGTAGCACACCCAAGAGTTCATCCTATTGGAAGGTTTCGTCCTTCCTCTGAATCCATTATACCTTTCCATGTTCCTGACCCTCTCTCATAAAACTGGCTCATACAAAATATGCAGAATTCTCAGCCTGGAAGTCAGTAGGTGGTTCTTGGAGTTTGGTCACTTTTGTGTCCAACTACTACTGGGTCAGCTGAGAATCCTGGTTCCAGTTTGGCCTCTGCCCCACTTCCATTGTCTTGTGACTGCATTTACATGCAAAGATCCATTCTTGAGGGGTTAATTTTAGCCAGCGTGTAGTGGTGGTGTATAATTCAAGCCAACCCACATGTGCTACAGAGCCAAGTTATCAGACCTCAGAGCCACATGCCAGGTCTTCCTAAGGTGGCAAAGGTCGTTCTGATCTGTACACAGAATTGCTGCCTCCAAATTTCCTGTATTCCCATGCAGGTTTTGCTAAGTATTCACAGAAGAGTGGTTATGAGTCTTAAAGGAGGCTAAGCTGGTGAGCCAGCTGTCACACCTGGATGGCAAGTACCTCCAGCTTTGTTAGGATGAAGGGCTACATGACTTGAAACTCCTCTGCTAAGCCTTAACCGGTTTGGCTCAGTGGATAGAGCGTCCGCCTGCGGACGGAAGGGTCCCAGGTTCTATTCTGGTCATGTACCTTGGTTTGCAGGCACATCCCCAGTGGGGAGTGTGCAGGAGGTAGCTGATCGATGTTTCTAAATCACGATCCCTCTCCCTTCCTCTCTGTAAAAAATTAATTAAAAATATTTTTTTTCAAGTCCTCTGCTAAAACATCTAGGCAGATGTAAAAAACAAATGTAGGAAACATTTTCTTAAATGCATAATGGAACCAGCAGAAATATTAGAAATATTGCCAAGGGGCAAAAACAAAAGGGAGCTGAAAACTAAACGAGGGGGAGGGTGTGAGCCAGGGCTGCTGCTGAGCGTCAGGCATGGGATTCATTGTCCACCCAGGAAAGAGAAGGTCTGATGCCTTTGCCCAGGAATGGCATCCATTCGAGTTGGTCTGCCTGGTGTGCTTTCCGGTAGCCATGGCTAATATCTGCACTTATATCCATGATGCTCAAAGGTACTTTCCCCCATGCCTCTGTGTATACGTCTTCATTGCGGGGAGGGGGTGAAGGGAAGGGAGCTGCCCTGGTGACATAGCGACTCTTCCAGTTCACCAGATTAAACTGGCGCTCTCTGTTCTCTCCAGGCTTGCTGACCAGGCACAGCCAGTGAACTGCCCTGTGTAGGCAATGGGGGCTGTGTGCCCACAAACACCTCTGAAGCCCAGAGTTGGGGTTTTGACCTGGTTAATGCTTATCTGCCATAATATCGGGAGAAAGGCAAGTGGTACAGTCAGAAACGCAGAGGTAGCTCGCCACAGCATTTGAGACAAGTGGAAGGAGAGAGACTCACGAGGAAGCATTATGATTGCCTGCCTCGTGGTGAGGAAAGGGTGCTCTGAGGAGGAACTGACCAGCCTCAGTTGGAAAGAACACCACACACCCCTGGTTTGAGGCTAGGACAGTGACACGCTCCACCTGTCACAGAGTTAAGTGGAACTTTGTCGCCGAGGCCTGTATTTGATGGTGGCACTGCTGTTACAGTAGGACTGTCGGGAGTATGAAATGTGGTCTTCGAGTACCACCCCATTCGTGAGAGGTTCCTGCCATAAGTGACTTCCTTTTTTTAATTTTTTATGAAATTTATTGGTTAATAGGATCATACAGGTTTCAAGTTTACATTTATTTTTTATTATTATTATTATTATTATTAAGGTATTATATGTGTACATATCCTATCATTGCCTCCCCACCCCACTCCCATACACGGCCTCACTCCCCAGTGTTTTGCGTCCATTGGTTATGCTTGTATGCATGCATACAAGTCCTTCAGTTGATCTCTTATCTCCCCCACCTCTCCCTAACCTTCCCGCTGTAATTTGACAGTCTGTTTGATGCTTTACTGCCTCTGTATCTATCTTTTTGTTCATCGATTTATAATTGCCATACGTGACTTTCAAGAAATGTCTCGATTCCTTACTTCCCCACTCTTAAAGAATATTTTGCTTCCTGTCAAACAATGACAATGACAAACATGATTGAAATGGACCTGAGGAAATGGATGTGTTTCATATGTATCTTTATTCTTGTAGGCCTCTCTTTCGTGGAAGTTCGGATGTGGATCAACTCGGAAAAATCTTGGAGTAAGTAATAACTGTAATTTTACCTCCGTGCTCCGGGCATGAGAACATTCACGGAGACTTACCTCTGACGTTCTCATAACGCATTTATCTCTTGTCTCTCCTGCCCCAAGCTGCTGCTGCAGACCCTGTTACTGTTTGTGTGGTGAGTGGGGACGCGGCAGGCGGGCTGTTTCCCGCAGAGCCCATCATGGCGGGCGGCCTGACTGCTCTGCTCCGGAGGCTTGTGTGTGGCTCGTGTGGGTTGTTGTGCTGCTCCTCCTCCTTTGCTTGGCTTTGGTTCAGGTGTGTTGCCTGCCTGGGGTCATTTCAGATGCACCCACCATCAGAAGTAGGGTGCCCAGTGGCCTGGTAACCCATCCTTGCCCCCCGGGTTTCCTGTCCCCACTGAGTATCCTTTAGCCATCCAGGTTGCTTCGGCAGTTTTTTTCCTGGACAAAGAATAGCATGCGACACAATCCTTTTTCCTTTGGAGCACTGAAATAGGAAATGAGAATCCTGGGCTCTAATCCTGGGTCTTTGGCTAAATAACTGTAATCTCGAGTAAGTCATGTCACATACCCTCAAAAAGAGCTTCCACCGTGCCTGCCGCATAGTCAGTGCTTTAAAGATGTTAGCTGTTTTTCATAATTCATTAGTCATTGTGTAACCATTTTTTGTTCCTCAGGTTCTTTACCTGAGAAATGGAACTTTGGGCTTAAATTTTCTTTACGTTCCCTTTTTGTGCTTCAGTTCCATGATTCCAGTTGTCTGTGACAAATCCTCGCTGATTTGTAGAGTTCCATCCATGTCTGCATGTGTGCATGTGAGAGTCTGGATGCTTTCATGTTTCTAGAATGTAAAAAGGGGGGGGGGCCTTTCTTCTCACAAAGCATGCAGTATGGCATCCTCTGGGGATTTGTGCATTTGCCAAGTCCCATCAAAACTGGGGTGGAGTAGGAAGAACATGGGAGTTGCAGAACACATAATAAAAAAATAAAAGCCCTGATCATTGGTCTGTGACATTTTCTAGGAATCCCAGTGATTGATATTTGTGGTCTGTAGAACTGGGGAGAAGTCCCCCTGGAGAAAAGGATTCTATTTTAACCCCATCTCTTCAAGCATGACCGCTTTAAGACAGTTGAAACACAACCGGAACCCGACTTTGTTCTCTGGGTAACGGGAAACAGCTCCCGTAGACATCTGCGAGCGCCAGTGCCACTGCTGAGTCAGAGCCGGGTGGCTTTGAGGTCTGAGAAGCATTTGCTCGTTTTATTGTCTGGGGGCCGCCCGGGCCCAGGGCCACTACCACAGCTGCTGCTCCTCCCGCTGCTACTGAACACGCCGTACGATGGGTGGCTCAGGACAGAGCCGGCTGCAGAATGTCCAGTTCTCTGTCCCTGAGTGAGGGACTCCATCCACTCACTCTCCCCGGCCCCGTGGGATCTAGTTGGTGTGCATGTGATCGTGCAGAGGGAACGAGGGAAAGTCAGACCCTCTGTGGGAAGGAAAGCAGCTTGCCAGGCAGTGAGGCCCTCCACCTGCTTTTTCCCTGCTGACACCACCTGGGCATCTGGTCCGCCCCCAGCCCTGGCGGCCGCGATCTCGTTAGCATTGCCCGTGCCCCTGAGTGTAACATAGCCAGTGAGAGGGACCAGGAGCAACCTCTGCTCAGCCTGTTTGACTTGCTCCAAAGGGAAAGCCGGTTCCACCTGAGATCCTAGGTCGCAAGCAGGAAGAAGCCATGAAGTCCTACGTGTTCTGTGCCTTTGGACTTGACTTCTTGGTTGTTTCCTCTGAATGCAGTTACTACTTTGGTGTAGAGAAAAGGGACAATACTGCACCCTAGTGTCGCTTCTAAAGTACGAGAAACATGATTTCTGTCCCCCAATGATAGGTTTTGTGCTCTGTCATTCTTTCCAGTACAAATGTCAGCTTTTAAGGCTTATATATTCAGCTGTCCAAATACTGAAATTTGATGCAGGCACTTTTTAATGGGCCTATCGGCATTTCACCACGCTCACATATGGACCATAAAAAGCTCATACTGTATGAAACTGAATTATGTTTAAAGAAAGTTATATTCACATTCTCTTTAAAGGGGGGAAAAAGAAATGTTCGTGTTTAGGAAGATTTATACTTTCAAAGAACAGCAAGTACTTTGAAAGTGAAACTGAATGCTTTTCAGCCTGTGGCATTTTGGAGCATTTTTAAGACCAGAGTCGTTGTTAAATAGAACCAAAATATTGGGTTTGGAATAAGGAGAGTTGGGTTCACTCCAGGCTCTGTGGCTAAGCTCGCTATGTGTGGCTTTAGCAGTCGGTTTCTTTCCTTAACTCAGTTTCCCCATCTATAAAACAGGAATAGTGATACCTGAATAGTAGTAGTAATAGATGTCATGAGAGGTTGTTGGAGGGATCAGAGGAGGTGATAGACTTACACTTTTAAAAGTTATTTGTGGAAACATGTATATAATTATGCAACACACATACATACAGAGTCCCTATTTTTCGGAGGGCTTTTGGCATTCAGCTGCCCGTATCACCAGATTTAATTCAATATAAATATATTGAAAGCTACAAATAAAAAGATTTTAAATTATTACTAGTAGTTGTTGTAACCAGCTTCTAGGTAACTAACTGGTGATGATATGCCAATATATTAATATTTTTAAAAAATGGCTAAAAGATAAAAATGAATGGAAGAAAAATATTAAAGTTCTTTAATAAACATTCTTCTTTTCTTCCTCTCCCATTCTCATTCTATCCAAACACACACATATTTATTTCCTTTCATAATTCGTAGTGAGGTTTTTTTCCTTCTTTGTACTCTTACTCTGGATCTTGCTATTAAGCACATTTTGTACAGTTGCCATTTCCATTCATTTGTTCCAGTAGATATGTCCCCGGCTCTGTCTTTATCTGCCTCGATAACATGGCCCCCCCAGAGCATATCCTACAGAGGTAGGATTGTCGGCCCAGACGCCTGCTGATGAGCACAGCTACGACACACTGTCTGCTCTCCCTAGGGCGGTCTAGGACCCGGGCTCTGTTTCGGTAAGAGAAGGGGAACAAAGCCCTATAGAGACCCTGTGACATTTAGCACCACATCTTCCTGAAACTTGGAAGTCCATTCAGGAGAACTCAGCCCTCTGGGCCTTAGTCCCAGCGAGAGCAGGCCAAGAAGACCCTGATGCAGGCAGGCCAGCAGCATTTCTAACTGTGGTTTAAATCGTTCGTCAGTATTTGAATAGTCATAGATTCTGTTCACTCAATTATAATCTTTTTTAGTTTAGAATTAATCAGTCTATGTGAGACATAAGTTTTTGCATCCCGATTTCCTTTGTTTAAACCTACTTACTACCTATACACACGTTATAAATAATATCTACATAATGTATGTTACTTTGTTTAAAGCCGCTGACCTACAATATTTCTGAAGAACCTTAAGTTATACATTGCTAGAACTCAAGGAGTTCATATGTTAAGGTGGTAGTGCCAACACATTTTAGATGAATAACATCATTTCCCTCTTATCCTATATAATAAATAGGCAATATGCAAATTGACCCTTGCGCCCTCACAAGATGGCTGCCTACAACCAGGCCGGCAGGGGGGTTAGCGAGGGACGACCAAACAACTGAACAAGCAGGCTGCGTGGGGCAACCAGGCCAGCAAGGGACTTAGTGAGGGACAACCAAACGACTGAACAAGCAAGCTCGTGGGGCAACCAGGCTAGTGGGGGGCGGGGGGGCAGTTGGGGCAACCAGGGAGGCAATTGGGGACGATCAGGCCAGCAGAGGAGGGAAGTTAGGGGTAACCAGGCCAGTGGCCGGGGGGAACGTGGGGGGGGGGGGGGGGGGACCAGTTAGGGCTAACCAGGCAAGCAGACAGGTGAGCAATTAGAAGCCAGTGGTCCAGGATTGTGAGAGGGATGTCCCAGATTAGAGAGGGTGCAAGCTGGGCTGAGGGCCCTACCCCCCACTCATGCACGAATTTCATGCACTGGGCCTCTAGTGGATAATAATGGGCAATGTATTGGTGTTGACAAATACTCACTGTATAAAAAAGACACTGAAATTCATAGAAGTTAAGCAATTCCTCCTTACCTACCCATAAGTGTCGGGTGCAGAATTTGAACCCAGATCTGCCTATTTCCAAAGCCTGTGTTGTTTTTATATTATTTGATGCTCTGTCCACATTTCTGGACTCAGAATCATTTTCAGAGAAAGCATTAATGATACTGTTTTTATTTATTTGCTCACTTTGGAATACCTAGAAATAGTTATGCAGTAAAAACATATAAATTAATTTTGATACTAAAGTATAAAATAGTGTTTGCATAACACAGGACTAACATACCTTTCAGCTTCTTTTTGTCTGATTCTAATGGATGTAGTTGGGGAATTAATCTTTAACCAAGAGTGCAACCAAATTTATGTGTTAAGAAATAATGTGACATGAGCATCATAAAAGCAGGTCACTATCAAAGTGCTTGATCAGAACACAAAAAGCAATCTTAGACATAGAGGAAAATGTTCTGTGCCCATGTGGGTCTACTTTTAATCTATAGGTCCTGCCCTGTCAGTATGTCAGGGCTTATTGGTAATTGAATACTTTCCATTTCTTTATTCTTCTGCTGATTGTCTGCTTCCAGAGAAATCTCTTCTCTCTTCCCAGCGAATTTTACAGTCCTCCTGTAAGATTACCCCAGGATCACCATAACGCAGCTGAACAGAGAGAAATGAGCATCCTGCCTGTCGTACAAGTGAGGGGCTCCGAGGCTCTGTGTCCCCGCTGCCTGCCTCGTAGACTTCACCTCCATCTGGAGTTTGGTGGGAACATAGCTTCTGCGTAGCAGCTGACGGTTCACGTGTGGTTTTCTTTTGTAGCGTCATTGGGCTCCCAGGAGAAGAGGACTGGCCTAGAGATGTTGCGCTTCCCCGGCAGGCCTTTCACGCAAAATCTCCTCAGCCCATTGAGAATTTTGTAAGCGACATTGACGAACAAGGCAAAGACCTTCTTCTGGTAAGTTCAGGCAGTCGGCACTGTGCTGGTGAGGGACTTACCCTGTCCTCTCTGGGTGGTGGGGACAGCACCAGTTCAGCATCACTGCCACCGCCTCACGAGGCACGGGCCACAACCTTCCCTGCAGCTCTGCTTCCCACACCTAGGCCGGAAGCAGCCAGTGCTCCCACTCGGTAGTGTATTCTGCATTTCATATATAGGCGTGAGAGTCTATAGGCCTTAGTAGAAAGGTCGTGCTTCCACTCCGTGTGGGCACAGCCAGTGGTTGGCTTGTCTGCAGAGCCGTTGATTTTCCCAGGAGAATCTCACTCCATCTTCCCCTGATGGTGGCTCGTTTTCTGGTGCGTAGGCCATGGTTCCCTCTCCACTGCCAAGTGATGAATAAGGACAGCTAAACGTCCTTCCCACTGTTTGTTTCTAAGGCCTGTATCCTTTGAAATAAATTAATTAGAAGTCGGAATATGGGCCTAGACCAGTGGTTGGCAAACTCGTTATTCAACAGAGCCCAATATCAACAGTACAAAGACTAAAATTTCTTTGGAGAGCCAATTTTTTTAAATACATTTTATTGGGTTTTTTTACAGAAAGGAAGGGAGAGGGATTGAGTTAGAAACATCAATAAGAGAGAAACATCTGATCAGCTGCCTCCTGCACACTCCTGACTGGGTATATGCCTTGCAACTAAGGTACATACCCTTGACCGGAATCGAACCGGGGACCCTTGAGTCTGCAGGCTGATACTCTATCCACTGAGCCAAACCAGTTAGGGCTGAGAGCCAAATTAAACTTAAACTTCTTCTAACACCACTTCTTCAAAATAGACTCACCCAGGCCATGATATTTTGTGGAAGAGTCACACTCAAGGGGCCAAAGAGCCGCATGTGGCTCGTGAGCCGCAGTTTGACTATCAGAACTTCACACGACTCACGGATTCTTCCAGCTCTAACCCCCGCTGCTAACCTTTGCCCTGTCAGTATTTCCTACGTCAGATTCTGAAAAGGAAGAATCTGACTGACATGCCTTACCTTGTAACCAGACTGCTGGTCCAGTCAGCTGTGCTGGGAAGGGGTATAAAATAGGGCCACCACAGGCCTGCCTTTTCGGCAGGAGCTTTGAATGGCAGGCAGTGTCACCTACTCATTTAGGGTGCCCCCTTAGCCGTGATGGCTTTCAAAGTCAGACAGCACGCTAATGCTAGACTGGGAAAGTAGCAGGAGACCAAGAAGAAAAATGAACAAAGAAACGAACCAAAGAGAGAAGGATATTAAAAAAAAAAAAAAAAAAAAAGCCGAAACCGGTTTGGCTCAGTGGTAGAGTGTCGGTCTGCGGACTGAAGGGTCCCAGGTTCGATTCCGGTCACGGGCATGTACGTTGGTTGCGGGCACATCCCCAGTAGGGGGTGTGCAAGAGGCAGCTGGTTGATGTTTCTCTCATCAAATTTTCTAGCTCTCTATCCCTCTCTCCTCCTCTCTGTAAAAACTCAATAAAATATATTTTTTTAAAAAAAAAAAAGAGAGAGAGAGAGAGAGAGAGAAGGAAGAAGCACGTGGAGGAATAAGAAGCAGAGCCGGTGGCATCGGGACTAGGGGAAACTTAAGCATGTAGTGTAACACCCACAGGTATGCAGAGAAAGGACAGCTCGGAGCTGCCCAACGCTGCTCTTGGGAGCCAGGCTAGACCCAGAAAGCAGAAGACGGGCCACTTGGTGCCAGACGGGCCACCAACAGCACCAGCGGCCTCTCCTGAAAATCATTTACTGAGGAAGGAAAGGGAAGACTGTGTTAGAAGGTTTCTGTTATTGAAGAAACGATTAGCATTTGGAAGTTTATCACATTAAGTTATTCTTCATTTTCATCTGGAAAAAAAGCTTGACTAATATCACGCCTCAGTCATTCATATATGTATGGACATATATACATGAACATTTATAAACGCTCTTATATACGTACAAGGGTGGGCAAAAACAGGTTTGAGCTGTGAGTTGACGTTCTTTTGAGTTAGTAAAGCTATTGTCATCTTAACCTGCATGTCTTTTTCCATACGAGCAACTGTAGACCTACTTTTGCCCACCCCTGTATAGAAGACAATTCAGGGGGGAAATTATTTTTTAACAACTGAAATTGACACGTCTTTTCGAGTTTTGTCCCCTTGGTTATGGTTAACTGGGGAGGCTAAATACTTATTTCAAATATGATGTTTTTGCTGGGAGAAAAAAAAAAATGTTAGAGCTCCTGATATCTGTTTTCAGAGCCTGAGGGCACTTTTTTTTTTTTTTTTGTCATTGTATTTAGTCTGCTTTTGCTGCATAACAAATAACAAAACAAACAAATAATACTAGCATAGAACAGGGAGCATATCTTTCTTGCTCATGGGTCTGCAGATTGGCAGAGGCAGCCCTCCTCCTGCCTTCAGGGCAAGTTACAGGTCTGTCCATGAGCCTTATTCTGGGCCCAGGCCAGAGGCTGCAGCTCCTTGGAGCATGTTTTTCTCGTGGGAGAAGGCCGATGCTCCCAAAAGGGCTAGCAGAAGCCTGAGAAGGCCGTGAGGATCTAGGCTCCGAAAGCCACCCTGATGCTTCTATCCTCAGCCCACTGGCCAGAGCATGTTCCCTGGCCAAGGCCAGCCTTGGGAGAGGAAGGAACGCTCTCACCATGGAGGGAGAGGAGGGAAGAAAGGGAATATAGGCTGGAAATGTTCAGATCCTCTTAAGTTGTAATTTCAAACGCTCATCTTATAAGTCAGTGTTTTGAGGAAGTAAATTAAATGTTCTTGCGGAAACAATATTATTACATAAGATGTTTTCTAATACTCAGGCCAGCCAGTTGCACCTTTGGAGTAGAGCAATAACAGATCTTAGCCACTTTCCCCAACAGTTTTCCTATAGGACATAATGTATTAAGACTTCCAACTTGAGATTCTCACACACATTAGGCTAAGGAATTAGGCTAAGGAATTCTCCTCCTCTCTCCCCTCTTTCCAGCCCTAAGCCATCAGTATAACTGTGGGAACAGGGCTTCCTCCCAGAGAAGCCTCTGGGGACATCTCTGTATCTTGAACACATTCCCACAACTTTTTTTAAAATATATTTTTATTGATTTCAGAGAGGAAGGGAGAGGGAGGGAGAGATAGAAACATCATTGATTGGCTGCCTCCTGCACAACCCACCCTGGAGATCCAGGCCACACCCAGGCATGTGCCCTGACCGAGACTTGCTCTGTGACCTCTTGATTCATAGGTCGATGCTTAACCACTGAGCCGTACCAGCTGGGCTCCACAATTTTTTTTATTTCTTCTTTTTCTGTGTTCTGTGGATTAAACTGGCTGCTTCTTTTTTCTTAATGCCATTACCTAACTTTCTTCTACTTAGACTCTGGGAAGAGAGAGCCCTGTCTCAAGAATGTTGCCCCTACTGTCCTATCCTCTGGGAATTCATCCCTTCCTTGTAAAGCTTTTCTCAAAATGCGTATTGCTGTCAGAGATAGCAGGACCATTCAGTAAACGAGCTCCTTCCTCTGCTTGTCTTTTTGCTCTTTGGTTTTCAGAAGTCACTGTGAGGAGGCTAGCGCCCATGGACTGGGAGGGAGCTCAGGATGAATAAGATTTCTGGGGACCCAAAAATTCACCAGAAATTATATGTAGAATTTTCTATTTGTACGTGTTTCCTAGGTAAATCACGTTTAACAGAGCTCCTGAAGAGCAGAAACCCAGATTAACTGGAAGCGGTCTGCCTAGCCATAATATTGTCTTTTTTTTTTTTTTTTTTTTTTTTTTTTTTTTACAGAGAGGAGGAGAAAGGGATAGAGAGGTAGAAACATCGATGAGAGAGAATCATTGATCAGCTGCCTCTTGGCACATCCCCAGTAGGTACATGGCCCTTGTCCAGAATCGAACCTAGGACCTTTCAGTCCACAGGCCGATGCTCTATCCACTGAGCCAAATCTGTTTTTGGCTATTGTTAAGTCTTTAGATTACATAGAAGACTCAAATACAGAGAACCAGCTCACTTCGGTGCCTCTTGCCTCACAAAGATGGAAAAGCTGTTACAGCTTCCCTGCTACTTGTGAACTCTCCAGGCGATGCTTGCCACCTGCCGGGAACTCCGGAAGTGTTTGTGGAGGAAGTGTGGACTTGAAGAACAAGGTTGCTTGGGGTCGGATTGGAAATGGACTGAGATTAGGGAACTTTTCTGGCTCATTGATTAGGAATCAACAGTTTGGGAGTGGAGATCACTGCTCCACAGGTTCACCTTTTCCTCCTTTCACCTCCTACCTGCCTTCGAGTTGACAGCCTGGAATAGAGTTCCGAGACTTGAACTGAAGCTAATGGATTCCTTCTAGGGACGCTGCTAGCTAGCCCATACGGCACCTCGATGTGAGTTAGAAGGAAGGCATCTCTCTGTTGGCGTAGGTCTGGGGCAGGGAGCAGGGCTCGCTAGTAGATTAGGATGATTACGATCTAGATTCTAGCCTGACTGCCTCCTCCTTAATAGAGAACGCCTTTATTTCCTGGCTTGACAGGTGTTTGTTTTTTATTGTTATTTTGTTTTGTTTTGTTTTATTTTAGGAATTTTTCAGAAACTGTTTTGGTTTGAAGAGCAGTTCAGTAATTACTCTTTACACGTGAACAACCTTGCCATTCTCTGCTCATTGACAAACCTGTAGGAAGACTTTAGAGATAGGGTCAAGTCTCTGAAGATGGCACAAAGTTTGTTAGCATTCGAAAAATCACTACCTAGCCGAAGCCGGTTTGGCTCAGTGGTAGAGCGTCGGTCTGCGGACTGAAAGGTCCCAGGTTCGATTCCGGGCAAGGGCATGTACATTGGTTGCGGGCACATCCCCAGTAGGGGGTGTGCAAGAGGCAGCTGGTCAATGTTTCTCTCTCATCGACGTTTCTAGCTCTCTATCTCTTTCCCTTCCTCTCTGTAAAAAATCAATAAAATATATTTTTTTTAAAAAAGAAAAGAAAAATCACTACCTAAAGAAAATGACATGCCCACTACAATAATAATAATATATTTTAAAGGACCTGGGGTGAGTTGCAGAGAAATTCTGGATAGGAATAGTCCACAGGCAACCCAAAAGGTGATGCATTTTTCTGAGAGGCATTTTATAGATTGAGGACATATATAAAATGAGATCTGTATACAGCAAGCATGTCAAACTCACAGCCAATATATGCGGCCCAGCCAATATAACCTTATGTAAGAAACGTTTTAATAAAAATTTAATAACTTAATTTTTACAGTATCCTGTTACACATAATTATTAATAATGAACTACAACGTTCACTAATGACTGATTACTATAATCGTGTTGCATTCATTTCCCTTACATTCATTTCTCTCCACTAATATTAGCAGCGAATATTTTAGCAGCCGATTGATATGTCATTAGTCTTGTACTGACTTGTTCACTGTACAAACAGGAGATATTTCACTTTCGGAAAAAAGAAACATAGGTTTATTTGCGTTGTGCTTATTAATTTGTGCAGTTATTCTGTCTCTGGTAAGTTAACGTTCAAGAAAAAATATTACTTTTTATTAAAATGTTCTATTTTATGTTAACGATGACTCATTTCTTTCAGTCCTTTTTATTCAGCATGTCTCTATCAAAGTAAACCTACGTTTCTATGAAAATTGAAGCTTTTGTTTTTTTGCAGCCCACATAAACTTAAACCTTGTTTATTTGGCCCATGTTGGCCTTTGAGTTTGACATGCTTGGTCTACAGTGTACTTGGTGTGCCTTGAAATAGATACTCATTCTCCTTAGAGACACACATAATTCATGGGTAGTGAAGATGTAACTACCCAAGCACATTTTTTTATTTTTTTATGTACATATTTTATTGATTTTTTTTTACAGAGAAGAAGAGAGAGGGATAGAGAGAAACATCAATGAGAGAGATACATCAACCACTTGCCTCCTGCACACCTCCTACTGGGGATGTGCCCGCAACCAAAGTACATGCCCTTGATCGGAACCAAACCCGGGACCTTTCAGTCCACAGGCTGACACTATTTTCACTGAGCCAAACCATAGGGCCAACCACATTTTTTTAAAGGGACATGTTTTATGTCAATCAATTATTTCTTTTCTTTATCACAGAAGTGCTTGACATTTAATCCAGCCAAGAGAATCTCTGCCTACGGCGCCCTGTCTCACCCATACTTCCACAACCTGGAGAGGCGCAAGGAGATCCTGGATTCCCACCTGCCGCCCAGCCACAACAGCTCGGAGATGAATATCGCCTGAGCTCCCGGCCGCCGCCTCGAGCGGATCCCCAGAGGGCGCCTTCGGAGCCTGAGGGGTCCCCCTGCGAGAGCCCCGGCCAGCAGAGCCAGGGAAGATCGCCCACCAACTGGGGCCCTGCCAGCCGCTGTCTTCTAATGGGCTCTGCTTCTCCGAGGAAACTGCTCAGTTTACTGTTCGAAACCATTGCAAAAGTGATTGCAGCTTTATGTTCATTCGTTAAGTGTTTGTCTGTCTGTCTGTCTGTTCGTTTGAAAAACCTGGAAAAATTCCAGAAGAGAAGCTGCTGACCAATCGTGCTGCCATTTCATTTTTCTAACCTTGAATGCTGCCAGTGTGAAGTGAGCAATCCAGGCACAGTGGCTTGTGATGGATCTCCCTGCAGCTGCCGGGCCTGATTTGGTACTTTTGAATGAACGCAATGAGTGAGCGTGTGTGTGTGTGATTTTTTTGATCTCTTAAAGGGTTACTCTCTGTAAACGACGAGAATAATCGAATTCTGGGGATTCAAAGTGGTGATGCATAAGTAACAGGCCCCTCCAATTAGAGAGCTGAGCCTATGTCCTCAGAACTTCTCTTCTGACCACAAGTAGTAAATTTGTTCATAGTGAAATGTTCACTATCTAGATGAAGTTTTTAGACACACATCAAAGAGGGGGGGGGGGGGAATCTAGTATCTTTAAGAGACCTGTTTTTTAAAGCACACATTTCACTTACTCTTCCAAAAGCTGAATTTACTCATTCTAAGTACATTTTAACCTGTATAATATGCTTTATTGTTTCTTTTTCAAAAATACCCTATCAGCGCCTTTCTTTCTTGCTATATAGTTTTAGGGAATGTACCTCAAATAGGTCCAAAACATAGAGAAAGCCTTTATTTCCTGGTTTGAAATGTATTTCCTTTTTGGTTCTTTTGTTGTTGTTCTTGATGATTTTAGGAATTTGTCAGAAACTGTTTCCTAGTTTGGTGTAGAGTGTCGTTCTCTGACTAGACACAGGAATGCCATTTAAGGTTTCCCCACCTGTGACACTGTACTTTTCCCACAATGCACTGCCTTGTTTGCCAAGTATCCACCTTCTCTATCCCCCGCACCTCTGATAAATATTACTATCCTTACATTACGGAGAACAGATCGCTTTTGCTGTTTGCATGCACTTTCTTCTTTCTTTCAAGGAACCTTTTCATAAACAGATTCAGACTATGGTTTATAGCTCTTAATTCCACAATCCTAACATGGTCCCTAGGCTTTCGTTCTAATGCAATCTTCCTACCCGTTCATTCCCCGTTGTCGCCTAGGCAATGAATGGGAGACTGGTTCTTCTCTTATCACCAGCACCTAGATGGCTTTAAACTGTTACTTAGTGTTCTATGTTTTTATGGCGTGTATTGTCAGTGTAGTATCTGAGGGAATACCTTTAACTATTTTTTTTTTTTTTTAGAAAGAAATATTTACTCTGATCTTTCCTCCTTCCTCCAGGCTGTGCTCCTTTCCAGTGCCTCGTGCACACTCCTGCCCTCTGCGGAGCCAGCTGACTCGGGCATTGTGAACAGCTTTACTCTTCCTCTCGCCGTTTTTCTCTGTAGATACTTTATATTTCATGCCATCTCTGCCTTTTTTTTTTTTTTTTTTTTTTTGGTGAGTGCTCATTTGGCTCTAATAGCCAGAAGGCACAGATTAAGTATGTTTGAGGAATGTTAGCTGCTTTGCCTTCTGACTCATGTTTTGAGCTCATGCAGCCATTAGACCATGTTCTCTAGAGTTAGAGTTTTCCATGAATGGACATTGCTTCGCTGAGTAGAAAATATTCCAGGTGATGTTTGTGCATAGTCAAGCCTTACCGAATTCCTCACAGCTTAATAATGTATAGGACCATCTTGAACAAGGGGAAAATTGGGAGATTTCTCCTTGACAGTTTTTTGGATCAGGAACCATTCTTTTTCATACCTTTTTTTTTTTTCCTTAAATAGTGTTCCGATTCAGTAACTTGAAGAGCAGGTAAAATTATTCTAAAGCAAGATATGGTGCTGTCCTATGAACCAGGAGGTCACAGTTCAGTTCCTGGTCAGGGCACATACCTAGGTTGCAGGCTTGATCCCCAGTAGGGGGCGTGCAGGAGGCAGCCTATCAATGATTGTCATCACTGATGTTTCTATCCCTCCCCGTCCCTTCCTCTCTGAAATCAATAAAAATATATTTTTTAGAAATAAGTAAAATAAAGATACGGATGGGAAGATGGGCCATAAGAATGTTTTACACTTTCTCCATATGTTTTGTCACCACTGTAAATGCTTGAGATATAATGAATCCCGAGCATTTAGGAGTAGGTAGGCTAGCAGTCTCCCATGGAAATGTGAGTTCTGCCTTTTCTTTTGGTTGGGAGCAATATACAAAGATGTTTTTGCTGGGGCCTAGAAATTAGATTTTAAAACTCACTGCACTGGTAGATTATGAGCTTTTCTGTTAGTATTCATGGCTAGAGTGAACATAACTTGAGTTTTTGCTTTTGCAAAAGTTTTCACAAGTTTGCTCTAGAAAAATGCAGCTGTTCTAAACTGGAATTTTTTTCAGCATTCTTTAGAATTTTAAACCAATAAGAGCTCAACTTTTATTTCTAGCATATTCTTCGGGGTCATTTCTCAGTAGTGTTGGTAAAGAGAACTTAAAGCACACACTAAGGTATTAGATCTTTGGCAGGTTATCCTCTGCGAGACAGAATGAGAGGGCATCTCAGCCTCTCTGATAGTCTGTCTCAGCTTCTCCACGATTGTGGCTGTGACACTTGAGTGATTATTCTCTTGCTTTCTGTTACTTCCACCAGGCTCACCAGGTCTGAAATCCAGATCCCATACAAGCGCTCTTGCCGTTAGGTGCTTTGAAGCAGATAGCAGAGCACAGACTTACTAAATGCAGCATATTCTGTGACATAGGTTTTCAAACATTTTTGCTAGGAGCTAAGCAGTGGTCAGCTGCAAAGATCAGACATGGAAGCAGCTTATAGCAGTAGAAAAACGGTGAACGATTTGAAATCGCATTTGAATTTCTCTCCAGGACTGGTCCAAGAATGTACATGACAGTTTCTGTATCATATTCCGTCCTGGCAGCCCAGGCATTGTGGAAACTGTTGTGCAGGGTAGACTTGTAAAAACCTATATTTAAAAAGAGTAAAGGAGAAACCTGCCCCGTTAGTCATGTTAGCTAGCTGTTGCAGGGCAAAGGTTAATCAAGACCTGACCCTGTCACCTTAAAAACATAATTTCTAAGAGCTTCTGAGAATCAGGTGCATTGGAGCCTCCCACCTCATCTCCTTTGAAGTGGGTGGGAACTCAAGGAGCAAAGAACCAGTTCTGGAAGAAAGCTCTGGGCCACTTCAGATTCTTTCATTCTCGTGGTTTTCTCTCAGGAAGCAGGCACAGTGCATAGCAGGCTTTTCATTTAGCCCCAGGTGACTTACTAAAAATAGTTCAAAATATTAACCTAAGGATAGAATCTCAGCCTTTTAGTTTTAAGTAAAAAACAAATATTTCAAAATGCACAGGATGTTAATATTTTAAAGAAAACATGCACTTTTTAATAGAGAAATTTATAGTTTGACTCCAGGACGTGGTCCTATCCATAATGATGAGGAAAAACACTTAAATTGTACCAAACATTTTGAATCTTAAATTATGTATTTAAAATAAGCTTTTAACCAACGATAGCTCCTTCTCTTAAAAGTAAGAGTTGGTAACGGCAATTTCTAGCCGTTACAAAAATTTAATCATGTAAGCTTCCTAATATAAACATTAAATTTCTTCTCTCCAAAGAGTTGCATCTTTTAAGTGACAACTTGACTATTTTTATAATAAGCTCATGAGAGTCATCACACATTTTCCAGAAGCAGGCTTGTGTTGCATACTTGGCTCTAAGAAAGAATAATGTTAAAAGTTTAATAATCCCTGAGAATTACTTGTGTTCATATAGAGACTAGAGAATATTTACTTTGGAAAAAGAATATTGAAATGTTACCAATTCTTAGGTATTGTTAGAATTCATAAGAATGCATGTTTTACATTGTGATATAAAAATAAAGATCTTAAATGATTGCTAATCCTTTAAAAATAAAAATAAAAAAGAGCAAGCAGTCGATAGAGGAAATTCTAGAGAAAAATGAAGGTATTCAAAGAAGGACATTTGAAAGTGAAATATATTTTGAGGGATATATATTTTAACAAATATATTGTGAGAATTGATGCTGAAGTCATCTGACAACTATGAACTTGGAAAAGCCATTTTAAACAATTACTATTTCAAAAACTGAGCCAAGCAAACCAAACCATCTGTGTTCCTTTCTCATTTCATGGAAAAGAGCAGCCATATGAAGCTACACTTGTTATGCAAGTCTTAGATTGTTCTTTTTTTAAGAAAACAAAATAAATTTTTAAAAGGCATGTACTTCCTATGCCACCAGGGCTTTTGAATCATTGTGAACCCCAAACCATTTATCATGTGCATGTGCATTTAATGCATGCAGATATATGAGTAGGAGGATAGTTCCATGTTTCTTCTCTGCAAGTGGAAAAACTTGAGGCGACCAAAAAGCTGTCAAAGCAACATGAGTCCTCAGAAGGTTAGTAATGGTATTTTCCTCAAAAGCATAAGAAAAATAGCACTTTTATTTCTTATCAATGCAATTTTCAACCTAGTTCTGTTCCATACCTATATCTCAAGCATTTCTAACATCTGCTTTTTCAGAAAATAAACCAAAAATATTCTTTTGGCCTTTTCTATTATCTGACCTTTGGAAAACAACAAAGAGAGGAGGGTTCTGATTTTTCTCAATTAGTTGTGTGGGGGGGGGGGGGGGGGTTGTGTGTGTGTGTGTGTTTTTTTAATGAAGTATGAATGGGCTTTTCAAAATAACTTCTATTTCTCAGCAATCCAGGGAGTTAATTTAGATAAATGAACAGACTTCCATCAGCATACTTGTCTCCTTGATACTGGTGCTCTGGCCTTCAAGAAGAAAACAAGAGCCACCTGAAAATAAATAATGGCTTTTTTCAGGCAGCCATTTAAGTTCTGTTACGGCAATTGGGAGCTAATATCTTAGGGGGAAAGGTCTTTTAAAATCCATACTCTCCTATGAGCTTCTTGTTTTATTCCAGTATATTCCACCAGGTGGCACTTTTCTTGCAGGCTGGGAAGGGGGGTTGGAGGGAGCGGGAATCTGAGCTAGGCTAATGAGGTATTTCTGAAGACTTCGTTCTAATGGTATTTTTGTGCACATACTTAGCTCTTGTGTATCACTTGTTTTTTAGGAGGCAAGTAGTCTTCACACTATCCTGTAACTTAGATATTGTAGGTGTTAGCTAAATTCTGAAGGATTGTAATTAAATTTTTCTGGAGGATGGATTAATCCTTTCATTGCGATCATTTAAGTGGGTAAGGGAAGCTTAGGCATTCATTTATTTAAGAAGCATTTTTGAGGTACCTAATTACCTCGCTTTTCTAGGTGCAAAGGTTTCCAAGGTGGGCAGGCTTGTTTCTAAGAAGGCAGCACTAGGTCTTGTTAGGAGTGTAACACTCCACCAGTGCCCCTGCCACCTACTAAGCCCCTGTTTGCTGCTTTCACATCCCGACATCCCCTGCCATCATGGCCTTTGGACATTCATTCAATTCTTAGTCCTAATTTAAAAATCAGGTGAACAAAATAAGTAGCACATCATTTACTAAATAGCAAAACTATGTTTCCTAAAGAACTGGCTGTGCCGACACAGCCCTGAAATACTAAAAGACCTGCTCGCTTCTACATTTGTATAATCCCAAGTGCAACTTCACAAGAAATTAGCATTTAAACATGTTTTGTCTAAACATGTGAGTATGAGCATTTAGGAGCATAGCTACACAAGTCTTTAACTTCTCCATTTGTGAAGGTCTTGGCAACTTTATCATAGCTATAAATATGGATATCCATATACTCATGTTTGAATTCATAGGTCTGCCCAAAAACCCATTACCCCTTACCCCCCTCCCACCCACCACCCACCCCCGGTTTTAGTTCATTTTAGGAGTCCCTTTCCCCAGTGTGTGTCACTGAAATTTAGGAGGAAGGAAATGACAGTATTTCCCCAGAGTTTCCTTCACCCTGCAGAGCAGAAGGCAGTTTATTCCTGAGGAGGGAGAGAGATCCCACGGTGCCTGCCTCGCTTTCCCGAAGGGTGGCCAGCAGGCACGGCGTCAGCAATGCACACTGAATCCAAATAGCGCACACACTAGAGGCTGGCCAAAAAACTCTCCTTCCTCTGCTTAAAACCCCCCTGAAGCAGGTTACCGTGTAAGGCCTAATTCACACCACGAATTTGGTTATCCCTTGGGCCAGTCTTAATTCTGCCCCCAAAACTTGGGGGCGCTGCCCCGCCGCACCCCGCCCGCCCCTCTGGCCATGGGGGCAGCGGGCGGGGTGGCCGGCCGGACCGCCCGCCGCGCACCTGTTGCCGCTGCCCCCGCCGCGCGGACCGGACCGGCCTGCAAGCTGGCCTGGCCCCGCGCCTGCTGCTGTCCCAGAGGCACCTGTCCTGCCGTCTCCAGACTTCAGATGTAGACGGGTATCTTCTGTGCAAAAATAAGTACAACACGATGCTCCGGGAGTTCAGGTAGTAAAGAGATGCTGCTCTGTAGGAAGCTGTCTGTCAGCCAGGCATCTCGCAAGCTCTAAGCTCAGTTGCTTTTTTTTTTTTTTTTTTTTTTTTTTTAAAGAGGATATGTATCATTACAGGAGAGATTTTTTTTTAATTTTTCTATTCTAGATATATGATGCAAAAGATACGCCTGCAAGGGTTTTGTGTGTGTGTGTGTGTGTAACTTGTTTATTTTTCTGCTTCATCCTCAGTTGGCAAAAGCTCCTAACTCTTTTGTTCCTTTTTTTTTTTTTTGTCAAGTAATTAAAGGTATGTAAGCAAACTATCTCCTGTAGTAGGGGATTTTTTTTTTCCCCTGGTTAGAGGAACTTTTTGTGTGAATTGTGTTTTTTTAAGCAAATAATCCTTTACTTTAGGAGTTTGGATTGTCAAATGTAGGTTTTTCTTCAAGGGGGCACATGCCTGTACATAGTACTGCCAAGAACCATGGCTGTAGCACTCGTCCGCAAGCATACGGGTGGAGCCACACGGTGAAGTCCCAGCTCTCTGTGGTCTCTAGCCAGATTCCCTTGATGTGCTTGGGTTATAGTCCTGCAGACACCCTTCCAACCCTCGCTTGAAAGTTCCTGATTTTAAGTTTTATGACATGCTATACCGTGTATTAGCCAGCAATATGTTCTATGCTTCACCAGCCACTCTTGAATTTGACCTTGAAGTCTCTGATTAATGGAAATAGATTTCAGCAATAATACATTTATTGAACACCCCCCCCCAAGTGCATTATATATCTTCTCATTTTGGTCCTATGTTTGCAATGATGTATACGTGACTATTATTGTTCCTCACTTATTCACATTCACTTATTTTGTTATGACAAATAATAAACCCATTAGTCCATGGAGTGAATAGCACCAGTGACCCCTAGGATCAGCACTTAACGTGGTGAGGAATACCTATTTCGAGTTTTTCTACTTTTGCATAAATTATTTCTATTATTATTCATTTATATTATTTATTGCAGTATCACACTAGTCCTGTGAAAGCACAACTGAAGGTGGACCGCATTAGGGTATGCATTTAACCTTCATGGTCCATGGTCTTGACAGAGCCAAGAGAGTAAAAAAAAAATTAGACTAAGCCCCCTTTCTTTCCCCCCACCCCCCGCCCCCCAGTAAGCTGCATGCATTTTAACATGATAGTAGAATTTAAGTCTATAGATAAGAGTGTGTTTGTGTCTAGATGTTTTAATTATCATTATGTAAAGGAACTGATGCATACGACTTGGTAATTGTTCTTTTGTCAAATATGCACATGATAATACAGTGTGAAAAGATAGCAACAATAAAAACTACAGGCAGAAGAGCACCAGACGCTGCCTTGCTTTAGGAGCTCTGCCCGATGGCCATCGGTGCTGATGCCTAGAGAGGAGCCACGTGGAGCTAGAGCCCTCAGGCATGCTGTGCAGGAGCGGGAGCAGGCAGTCCTGCTGCAGGGAGAGCAGTGTGAGAGTTTTCTGTAGAGGCAGAACCGTCAGCTGGTGCCTTGAAGCTTCCAGAATGTGCTAGATGGGGGAGTCCAAGTTTCCGTGCTTCACACGGAAGACGTGGTTTTGTGCAGAAGCAATCCAGTCCGGCAGTGAGAACAAGGGCTGCGTGTACAACAGTCAGCGGTGGGGCCTCAATAACCACCAATCCCCAACAGCCTCGCAAGCTTGTTGCATTTCTGGTGTTTTAGGTTTTGGTCTGAAGGTTAAATGGCAAGTGTTTGGTCCAGCAGAGCAGGGTGTGTTATGAGAAGCACAGTACCAGGGCCCACAGAGGGCAGGTTCGAACGAGAGGGTCTTGCAGGATTATCGCTTCTGAGCTCTGTGAAATAATGGAGTCGTGGTTCTGCTTTCCCACAGGGCCTAGTGAACACATTCTTCTAGGTTTCAGCAAGGATGTCACACCCAGTGAGCTTTTTTTTTTTTTTTTCTTTTCTTTTACTAGTGTAATGTTCTAAGAGTAGGAAAAAAAATCTTGATTTGAACATTTGCTTTGTTGGTTTCTGTGTTTGAAGTTACCGTTCTGGAGGTGTAGAGAGTGTGCGTGTGCGTGTCATATACTAATCTAGGCCGTATGAACCAGCCCAGGAGAGCCAATACCCACCCATCCCCTGCATCTCTTCCTCCCTCCCTCGGAGGTGCTCCTTACCCTCATCCTGGCCGGTCCATGTGGTGCTCTCCCTCCTCCTCTGCTGCTCTTTGGGCATCAGGGACATGATGAGCGAGACTTTCGGCATCACTGGTGTGCTCAGGCGTGGTCACCCCGGACTTCCCGGACCTCCAGCTGGCCACTGTCATCGAGAGAAGGTTCCTGGTGCTGGGCACAGAGCGTGCTCACAACACCAATCCCACATGCCCTCTAGCGTCTTTGTACATACCTTGATTTTTAAGCCACATCACTCTATAGAGCATTCAGTTTGGGCTGTGATACAAAGAGGGGGAAAAACTAACCAAGAATACAAACCACAGTTCAGGATGCTGCTTTCTGTCCATTTACAGGCTATCCTCTTACTGTATTTCTTCATACTTGAAACTCATTCCGCTATTTTTAATATCAGGGTACAGACCTGTAAGGGTGCATGTTTCTTAAAGGTGCAAAAATCACTCCCATTCCGTTGGCTCGTTGTGGCTACAGAATGCTCTGGTTTGGTGCTTAGGGTTCAGCAGGTCAGAGAAGCAGTGTGGAAATTTACTGCCTGGAACACAGTCTTACAAGAATGTTGGCAGATGGCTTGATGCTAGATAAGGCTCTGCTCTTTCGTCTGTACACAAGGTGGCTGAGAGTTACCGTACTGGCCTGGCAGGTTCATCCGGGTACCCTTCCTCACAGGGCACAGAAGCCCTGTGCTCTCCAAAGGGGGGGAGAGAGGATGTGCAACCCTCTGGAAGCAGGAAATTTCCCTACATATCAGGATCATTTACCTTTAAAGAAAAACGGCCTCTGGTATAGACAGGATCAGAACGGGGAGGACTCTAGTGACCATCCCTCCTTTCCATACTGAAAACCCTCCTGAGGCAAAAAAGAAAAGAAAGCTTATCTGTAGAGTTATCCTCTTCACAGTACCCTGAGCTGAATAATCTTGAATAAATGAAAATGCAGGTCAGTGGATCTGGACCTGAAAAAGAAA